GGTTTGTTTTCTTAAAAATACACACATTTAATGTTGAATTTGAAGTCTAAAAAACAGTTCCAGCAATACAAAAATGTCAACACCCATGACAAAATGAATACACACATCCACAATTAAACCAATAGTTTATCACATTCTCTCCCCTACCAGATTCCAATAGTGATCTTGCATGGAAGCCGTACTGCAAATACTGCTGGTGTTCAATGTGAATTACAAAAATTGCAGAAAAAGAAAATTAAAAAACTGGTTGTAAATTATAACAAAACTACATTTTGCATTATTTCAAAAGACCAACATTTAAAAAGTAACCTGTTCTTATAAAAATATTGTAGCTATAGCAAAGGCAACTTAATAGCTGTGATTGAATAAATGGAAAAGACCCATATTTTTGGTGAGGGCAAGCGGAAGTAAATTTTAATTTTCACCTTTGTTCAACTAAATTTTCTGAAAAACCACAAGAATTGGCCAATGCCTTTTATCTATTCTTCCTTTGTTTTTTTTAATGCCAGTACGTATTTATTTATTGTTCATTTTATGAATTAAATTGACGTGCCATCCATGTCACAGACTCGGTCAACTCTTTGGACAAACTTTGCCTTTCTGTGGAGTGGGTGCAAATGAGATTAGGTGATCTCGGGAATCACAGAATGGAAACTTCCCCAGCATCCACGGCCACTTGGCCGTGTAGGTCTTCTTCAGCTCCTTCTTGTAGAGCTTGGCCTGGGCCTCGTGCTGGCCGCAGAGGTCCTGTAGCGCATTGGCCAGCTTGTTCTCGAACACCCACTGGCTCCCATTATTGATCTCCACCAGGCACATCTCATAGCAGAGTTTGCTCTCACGGAGCTCCTCGCTGGAAGTCCAGCTCCTTCTTCAGGGTCTGCAGGCTGGTCTCTGCATCCAACCACTGCAGCGTTTCGTCCTGAAGCTGCCAAGGCCATCTGCAATGTTCGCTCAGCTGGACATTTTGGGGTCCTCAAGACTCTGCATTTAGTAAATCGCCAGTTCTGGTGACCCCACGTGAAAAGGGACATAGAGGAACATATTTGGAACATGACAAGGAATTCTGGAACCAAAGTCTCCCTGTTCTGTGTTACACAGCAAAATTAGGGCTTCAAAAACATATGGATCTATTCTAAATATAAAAGTACACTATATTGCCAAAAGTATTCGCTCACCTGCCTTTACTCGCATATAAACTTACTGTAAGTGACATCCCATTCCTAATCCA